GTTTTCAGCTGAAAATAAAGGCCCAGGATTCTAAAGCTTTGATGAGATATGTGCCAAGTGGAAATTCTCACACAAAGGGAGGGATAATTTTCCCGAAGCTTCAGTTGTTCTGAGTTAGAACAAAAAGGCATATGACAGTATGATATAAAACCATAGCACTGGAAGGGAAGCAGAGATTTTTAGCACAACTTGATCTGCTATAGGAGATTACATAGTATAGCAACCTGTTATCAGGAAACTACTCAGGCTTTAAAGTAAGAAACAGTTTTTATCCACAGAGACAAACACAAGCCAACCAACCAACCAACCAAAAAACTACACTAAAACAAAAAACAAAACAAAACAAAAAACAAAAACAAAACAACAACAACAACAAACTCTCAGGTCATTAGTGAAACTCTACTTAAGTCTTGCATTGCAGTACTGTCAATCACGGTGGAAAGCACTCTGCACTGGATGTTTCAGCTGCCTTCTACATCAGCCACGGTGACCGTTTCAAAACTCAAATCTGATATTGTTAATCAATCCTTTCCAACCATCTCAAAGGCTGCTTGTTGCTCTTAGGATGGTGAGGAAAATGCTTTCTGTGATCAGTGAGCCAGTGTGTAAAGCAAATCCTAGCTCCATTTTAGCCTCATCATCAGCGCTCTCCCTTAGTGATTCCCATATTAACCCCAGGCAGTGTATTTCCTCTAGCCACAGGCCATTTGGAAGTGCTCCTTTTTGTCTGAATACTTCCTCTCAGAAGCTTTTTCATAGTTCATTCTTTTTCTTTTACCTCAGTTCAATCATTAGTTCCTGCCCTACCCCATCAGTAGGGCCATGGTTTGTTAAACTTCAAAAGCACTATTGACTGGGTCTTTCCCAGAGCATCAGATAATAAGCACTCAACTGACTCCTGAATTTCCAGTGAGCAGCAAACCAACTTGACTGTATGTGGCTGGCTTCCAACCTATAGAATTTTCAGCTAATGAATGGATGTTTGTCAGACACTAAACTGGTAAAACTTCATATATGATAGAAAATGAGTAATCATAATGCACAGCCTTCCCAAATCTGCCAAGGAATAATCCAGAAGATAATAACATTACCATCATGGTCAAGTTTGTGAGCCAGGATGAATTAAATAACACCTTGGATAAGATCTGAATGATGACATCATAGTCAATTCCCTTTCCTTATAGTCACTAATTGACTGAGGGAAATATACTTGGCTAAATGTCTAAATTGAGTGATGCAGTTAGTCAAGCGTGGAACATCAATTGGAGACTTTTGTTGTTGTTGTTGTTCATGTATAGATACACACACACACACATATATATATATATACACATATACATATATATATATATATGAATACACATACATATATATGAATAAATTGACCCTGAGATTTCAAGAAAGAATAATTACTATCATATTTGTGCATTTAAGCTTGTATATACCAAATTTACTGTGGATATAGTAAATTAATTCTAAAATAAAATTTTATTCTCTTGATTTTATAGGTCTCACAAGAATTTTCTTAGAATCATTTTAAGGTAACAATGTCTCATTAAAATCAAGTCAGCATCTTCTTGTATCATGATTGAAAATCCTATTTAGATATTGGTATTATTAGTTTTCCTAGTATTCTTTTCTTATATGGTTGCATAGGTAAAATGTTTTCTTCTAAGATTAAAAAATAAATTATGGTTATTTGGTAATCTCTGGTCCACAGAATTTTGTGTTGAAGACTTTCATGTGTTACATTTTAATTTTATTTCTTTTGATGATGAGAAGATCGGGGATAGTGGTATACAAGTAAGAATGGTGTATCCACCAGCATCATAGAATTCGTATAGGCTGGACTTAGCAACTATGTTTTCATAATGAATCTTATTTTTAGTGTGTATGTGTGTGAAAGTGCTATTTGCATGGATGTGTATGTGTACTTAGAGGTCAGAGGTTAAACTTTGGGTATCCAGATGTCTGTGGTCCCTCAGCAGCCCTCTACATTTATTTTTAATAGAGGTTTATTGGTCTAGATTTTTCCAATCAACCTAGGCTGGCTGGCCAGCAAGCCCCAGGAATCTGCCTGTCTGTCTCCCCGGTATTGAGATTACAAGCATTTCATAAGATCAGGTTTCAAAAATATGAGTTCTGGTTCTTTTAATAGATTTAAATATTATGCAAATGCTCAAATGCTGAATTGAAATATTTACCAAGAGACATTAAAAAAATAGAGCGAAAATCTATTGAAGTTCTATAGTAGGAGTATACTATATAATAGATATAACTGATTTTTAATGTCTTTAATTTCCTGTTTCCAGATTAATAATCTGAAAAACATTCAGAACATGTCATAAAAGGTAAGTGTGTGTGTGGGGGGGGGGAAATCTTATCAAATGAGGCCCCCAAGTGGCAGTTTAAAGATAACTGTCCATGTAAAGGCAAATGGATTCTTATGGTAAAAGGTTGTATTGTGCAAGTATTGTGTCAAGCGAACCCACTAAAAGCAATGGAAATTAACACTGTATCCTGATAATTTAAGGTGAAATTTTACTGTGTTCAGTCAGAAATATTTTATAATATAAATAACATTAAAGTACACTTGATGCCAGAAAGCCTATCTCACTTTTCTTGTTCTAAAATGACTACTCAGTTATGCTTCCCTTCCAAATCTACCAAACAAGGTTGACTACAATTTAACTTCACATCTCTTCCTATTCCCTCCACCTTTTGAGACAAGTTCTTACAATACAGGCTAGTATTCAGTTTGTGTCTGAAATGTTCCTCAGAGGCACAGGTCTCAAATGCTTTGTACCCACCTGGTGGCTTTATTTTAGAAGGTTGTGGAAACTTTGGGCGGTAGGACTTGGAGGAGTCAGGGCACTGAAAGAAGGTCCTAGAGTTGTCTTATCACTCATGGATTTCTTGTCACTGTACATCCTCTCAAATATGATGTCAACTTTAATGTTCTTCTCTAGCTCTCCATGCTACAAAACTTCTGAAACATGGACCCAAACAAAACCTTTCCTCCCTTTAACTGTTTATATCAGATATTTTGGTCACAACAACACAAAAGTAATCAACAAAGCAAGGTATCAGAATTCTGGGATTACAAAAGTATGCCACCATCCTTTGCTCTATAAATCCTCATCATCATCATCCTTTTCCTCCTCCTCTTCTTCCTCTTCTCCTCCTCCTGCTGCTGCTGTTGCTGCTGTCAGGGTTTCTCTGTTTAGCCCTGGCTGTCCTGGAACTCAGAGATTCTTCTGCTTCTGTCTCCCCAGTGCTGGGATTAAAGGTGTGCGCCATCACCACCCATCTAGGAATTTTCTTCATAATTAGTGGTTTTCTACTCTATTCCTTAGACATTTATAATGTTGTCAGGTTTAAAAAATGGTCTCCAATTTGAGTTCTATTTGTCATTGCTAATGTAAATATTTTGCTGAGACAGGCTGCACAGCCATTGCATCTTTTTTCTAGTGGCTGTTTCTGAAGTCATATTATTAGGCTAGCAAGAAAAGACAAGATATGACTGGCACCTAGGAGGGGAATCTCCTGACAAGCATCTATACCAGACAGGGGATATTTGAGATGGACATCGACAAAAATCACATACCCCTGTATGTGGAAACTTCACCTGTTTTTATCCATGTGAAAGATAAAGTTTATAGCCTGTTGTTTTATTATATAAATGCATATTTATTGTAGTAACTTAGTTCAAATGTTATTTTCCTATATACATTTTTATTTTAACATACTTAGATTTAATAAAGAGGTGAGACTTTATCCTGACAATTTGAGATTTTCAAAGTTAAAAAAAAAATCTGGTCTGGACATAATGGTAAAAAGGCAGGTGAACAGTAGTCTGGAGTGAGTGTCTGAGGTCAGGGCTTCAAGGCAGGAACCTCCCACAGGTAAGACCAGAGAGAAAGCAGGATGTCTGCAGAGTGGTCCTTTCAAGCTGTGTTTCAGGCCTCCAAGGGCAGCATTTCCCTCTCACCTTGATTAAACCTCTCCCAAGGCTCAGTGGCTGCTGCCCAATTCAGATCTCACTGCCCAGGACACGAGGCTGCATGCTCACACAACACTTGTTCACTATGCTGGATACAGATATGGGACGATGAGGCATGGAGAATCAAGAATTCAGACCTAACCAGACTCATGTGACATGAAAAGCCAGGGACACAGTTCCTAATGCCACCACGCCGCTGTTTGTCAGGCTCGAAGAGGGCTTTGGGACAAAAGGAACCCATCTTCTAGGTAGTCAGCCCCACCTCCCTGCACTGTGGCATTGTCCTGCTGTGGCTACTGACGCTCCAGGACCAGTAATCTGTCCTGGAAATGTGAGACTTAGCCTTGTCGGGGGTGAGGGGGGTTTCGGACAAGAGTCGCTGTGGGTTTGGCAAGCGGAAACCGGCTTTGCACAAACCGCTCCCGGCCACTCGCTGCTTCGCCGCGTGCACGCTGATGCTGCAGGAGCGGGCTCCGTGGTCTGACAGCGGCCCACGCGCCGGGGCGGGGCTTGAGTGAGCGGCTTTAGAGGGTCCCGCCCCCCGCCTCTCGTCATTGGCTGTCTCCCGGCGCGGCTCTGTTCCCATAGGTGCAGGGGCGGGGCTGCGTGCGACAGGCGTGGGGCCTCACCTCAGCGGGCCCCGCCCGGCTGCAAGAAGGATGCGCGGTTAGGCCTCGCGGGGCTGGCAGGCTCGCCCGCGCCCTGGTGCCGTGTCCCCGGGGGAAGTCGCCAGCCCCGACTCCCACCCCGCGCGCGCTTCCCCGGTGCACGGCGGGCGGCGCGCGAGCAAGGGCGGAGGTGTGCGTGCGTGCGTGTGTGTGTGCGTGTGTGTGCGCGTGTGTCTGTGTGTGTGTGCGTGCACGCGCGCGTGGAAGCTGGGTACCGGGCACAGGTGCCCTGTTGCCCCCACACCCTGCCCGCTTCCTGGCTCCTTTCTCGGTCCTTGCTGCACCGGCCCGGGGGTGGCATACGGGGAGAAGGCGGCGGGACACAGGTGTGCTAGGCTTGCGGGACCGCCTGAAACAAAGAGGGCGCGGAGGGGAGCCGGCCATGGCTTCCCGGAGCCTGGGGGGCCTGAGCGGGAGCCGCGGCAGCAAGAAGAGCCTCAGCGCCCGCAATGCTGCGGTGGAGAGGAGGAACCTGATCACCGTGTGCAGGTGCGGGGCTGCGGGCGCCGGGAAGGGAGGGAGGAGGTCCTGGGGCCCCGCAGCCGCGGCCACTGTCCCCGCCGCGCCCAGAGTGTCCGCGGGCGAGCCGGGCCCTGCGGCGCGGCGGGTGGCTGCGCTCCACCAGGCCGGGGACCACCCCACGGTCAGCGAGGGAGGTTGCCCGGGGACCGCCGGGGCGGAGCCAGGGAGGGTCTGTTTTGACAGTGCCATCTGGAGACTGAGTGGAAGAGGGCGGAGAGGAGCAGTGGCCAGCCGCGGGAGTAGTGACTGAGGTCGCTCTGTTGTCCCCACATCTGAGTGCGCTCTGCTGGTTTTGCTTGTTGGCCTGTGGTTTTCACTGCTTTCATCCCGCGCATATCCGTGTCGGGCGTTTTAAGTCTCATCTACTACAGTGCCAGTGATGCTTGTGGCACTGTGGAAGACACAGCCCCTAGGAAGCCCTGCTCAGTCATTTATTCAAAGATCTGCTCTTCCTTAAATGCTTGCTTCCTGATTGTAAATGAATTCCTTCCTCTAGGAAACAATCGAAACAAATAACCACTATCTATAATTTTACAATGCAGAGAGAACAGACTTGAATAAGCTGATGAATTTTCTTTAAGTCTTACAAAATTCTAGGCATCCGTTTCTAGGAACCTCTCAGTCAATAAGCTCTGTTAAAATTATTTTGTTCCATCATACCGTTTTAATCATCAACTAGTGATAATTCTCTGGTTTTCAGGTAGATGATGAAATCTTCCCCCTCTACAGTCTATGCCTCATTTGAATTTTTTTTTCCTTTTGTAAAAGTGTGTCTAGCTTCTTAAGCAGATTGCAGATACATGTAGTAGGAGTTATATTCAATATTTAGGCAACTTTTTAACAAGTTGGATTTAATGAGTGCTCATCCATCAGGTAGACTCACGGTTTGCATTATAAGTGGTAAAATAATGTGGACTGTATTTATCATTTGTGATGTGTGGAATACAACCTTTAATTTATCTTTAACAGATTTAAAATGAGTTATTTTTCTTTCAAGGAACTAAGGATAGTTCCAAAGCTGGTTTCAGCCTAAACTGTGCTTCTCGAGTTATTATCACAGCTCTAGCAGAGTTAATGTTCTGGATTATTTGATATTGGAAATTGGAAGGAGTTGATTCAGTAGGAATGTAACTGAGGTCAATGTTGTTACTGTTTTGGATTTTGGAATTACTCTGTTTGATAATATATGGTGGTCAGGAAAAGAGCTGAATTGAATTTTGGTTCATTGTGATTCTCTCTCTCTCTCTCTCTCTCTCTCTCTCTCTCTCTCTCTGTGTGTGTGTGTGTGTGTGTGTGTGTGTGTGTGTGTGTGTGATTCAATTTGTTAGAGAAAACATGTATCGTATGCTAAAACCATTCTGTAGTACTTATAGTACTTATCCGAGCAAATAAAGTTTTTAGCATATTTTTCCATAGATTGTATCGCAGAGAAAGTAGGTCATTTGAGAGCTCTAAATTTTCCACACTAAACTCCAAAATATTTTAGTTACTCTATTTGTGTAAGGAAACTTTATGATTTAGAACTTTGAAAATTAAGGCACTTCACCCCCCCCCCCATTTCTCCTCTCCCTCTTTCTTACTGTGTGGCTTCCTTAACTGGCCTGGAATTTGCTATGTAGGGTAGGCTGGCCTCAAGCTCACTGATAAGTACATGTCTGCCCCCTGAGCACTAGAATTTCAGCCATGAGCACCATGCTGGGCCTGCCCTTGAGCTTTTTTAGCTTGTATTTTTCATCCATACACATTTGGGTGTTAGTCATTTTTTTTTCTGTTACTTTTAAGCTTATGTGTTTTTTCAAAGACTTTTTTTTTTTAAAAAATGTTTTATGTATAGGTGGTTTGCTTACATATATGTCTGTGCACCATATGTGTGCATTGACCACTGAGACCAGAAGATGTGTCATATTCTCTGGAACTGGAGTTACAAATAGTTGTGAACCCATATGGGTGTTGGGGATCTAACTGGAATTCTCCAGAGGAGCAGCCAGTTCTCTTAACCACTGTGCTGTCTCTACAGCTTAAGCTTATGTCTTTTAGAGCTCATATAGTTTTTTCATCTCAGTCCTGTTGGGAAACACAATTAAAATCTAACTCACATTTCAGTTTATAATGTTATATAAAGTACTAAAATATTCATGTTTAACAATATGATTACACATTTTAAAACATTTGTCATACTTTTAAGTCAGTAGTTGTACTGGCTAGTTTTATGTCAACTTGAGACAAACCAGAGTCATCAAAGAGGAGGAAGCCTCAACTGAGAAAAGGCCTCCATAAGATCCAGATGTAAGGCACTATCTTAGTGATTGATGGAGGAGGGTCCAGTGCACTGTGAGTGGTGCCATTCCTGGTAAGCAATAGCTCTCCATGTCCTCTGCATCAGCTCCTGCCTCCAGAATCCTGTCCTGTTTGAGGTCCTGTTCTGACTTCCTTTGATGATGAACAGAGATTAGTGTAAGCCAAATATACCCTTTTCTCTACAGCTTGCTTTTTTATCATGGTGTTTCATTGCATGAATAGAAACTCTAAGACAGTAGTTAAAAGGAACCTTTCTTAGGAAAACAAAATCATACTTTTCCTGTCTTGTGGATAAAAAAAAAAAAAAAAAAAGACAAAGGTGTACAATAAGTTAAGCAGGATAGAGACAGATGATGATTTCATAATTAAAGTATTTTAATAAGATAAAACATCATTTTCTATATAGGTCAAGATATTATTGCAGAACACCAGTATTATTTCAAATTAGAACAGTATCACATTTATTCTGTGTGGTCAAGGAATACAGAGCTCAAACTAATATCCACTCTGAGCTTAAAATGCTTCCCTCAGCTGTTCTGCTTCAGTCAGCACTTACTATGGGATACAGTCCTCTGTATAATGAAGCTTATATTTCACACACAGTAAACAGTGTGTAGACATTTTAGATAACTTGCATAAGCAAAGAAGAGGTTGCACATTGCTCTACCTTCTTTAGAGAAGAACGTGATAACTACCAATAACTGTATTCTGGATCTGTGCCTATGAATACATGCTGTGCAGTGGCTGTCCTTGGAGAATCTTGAGCTACCTCAGTAGGGTTTGCTAAATGGCCCCATAAGACTTGGGTTTAGAGTTCTTTGTTTTTTGCCACCTGCTGTTTCTTCCTATTGACTTTGCTGTTGTTTCTTTAAGGTGTGTTTCCACTTTACATCTTGGCTTGCTGACTATTGTTGTGAACTAGGAAAGGGGATACCTAGATTTGTGCTCAGAGGCACAAGTTAGCTGAGAGAACTTAGCCGTTTTAGCATTTTAGGTATTGGATAATCAGCAGGAAACATCTTGCTCTTGAACTTTGTAGGAATTCAAATGTAGATATATGAACTCTTACTGAATAGATTGACAGCGATATCCTTTAAACACAGTAATCTATTCTTTGTTACTACTTGCTTGAGTATGCCTTGTAAGAGTGGTCATACCTTGGTATGAGGAATATCAAAGTTATTTTAATCATGGTATATTTAGTAGAACATTGATCCATGTTTTTGGGCCAATCCATATCTTCATAGAGCTTCTGAGTATGCTGAAGGAATTGTTCCATACTCGTCTATTTCGAATGGCTCTTATCCAGTTATACACTGATTACTTCAATGCTCATTGAGAGTTAAGACAAGCAATCACAGAGGGTCTTCTTGATGCCACTCTTCTAAAACTCTGCTGTTTTGCTTTAGGCATTTATATTAACAGTCCATTTGTAGATTATTTGTATTTGTGGTGTTAAGTATGGAGACCTGTGGTGATATTTTGTTTATGATCTAACAAATAAAGCTTGCTTGAAGTCAGAGTGCAAAGCTAGCCACACTAGTTAGCTATAGAAGGCAAGCAGTGGTGGTACACACCTTTAATCCCAATGCTCAGGAGACAGAAGTAGACATATTTGTTAATTCAAGGCCACCCTAAGCTACATGAAATTGATCCAGTCTAAAAGAGAAACAGAGATCACACAAAGGTGATCTCGGAAGTTGGGATCCCATGCCTTTAATCCCAGCATTACAGAGCTCCTGGGAGGAGACAGGAGCTCAGGGTAGTCTGAGGTTTTGTACAGAGCAGTGCCCTCTGAGAGTAGGATCGCCCCTTTGTTCTGAACATTGGTAGAGGTGAATGGCTGGCTGCTTTGCTTCTCTGATCTTCAGCTTTAACCCCAACATCTGTCTCTGAGATTTTATTATAAAGAACAATTAGAATCGTGCTACAGGAACCAGGATACAATATTGTTCTTATAAAAAAAAAAAAAAAAAAACAGTTGACCTAGAGTCACTTACTGAAAAGATCCTATTTTGTTTAATACCTTCAAGTGTTGCTTTTGTCTTAAGTTAGGCCTCTGTTTCTGAGCTCTTTCTGTCATCTTTCTATCATTTCATTAGTCTGTTTCTTCCTGAAATAATATCATACTGTTTTTCTAATAACTATTGCTTTATAATATATCTTGGTGTTTGGTAATCAAGTTTTCTAGGTTTTTATTTGGAGATCATCCTACCATCAGCCCTTTGGCAACTAAATTGTGATCTACTTATCAATTTCCAAGACAAGCAATCTGGGTGTTTCAAAACTTTACAATTTTAATATGTGTATAATGTATTTTGGTCATTTTTGTGCTCTCATTACCCTCTCTTATTCCTCTCATACTCCCCAAGGAACCCAAAGTCATCTTTGTATTTATGTGATTTGTTTGCTTGCTTTGTTTTTTTTGTGACCCACTGAACTTAGTTAAGATTGCTTGCATAAGTGTGGATGGGCTGTCATTTGCTTGAATATGGGCATCTTAACAATGGATATACCACTAAAGAAAATGACACCCCTCTTCTAGCAACCATTAACTATTAATAGGATTCTGGGATTTTTCATATGCTTACAATAAACAACAAATATTTTCATATTTTAAATATTCTGAATTTTTTCAGAAATAGGTATTAGTTTAGAATATATAGACA